GACCAAGCAGGCAGTCCCCAACATGTGCTGATACTCTGTTAACCTGTTGGGCCTGCTGCTTTAAATCAGTATCTCACAATTCTCAAATATTGCTTTATTTTGTATTCCTGAGTAATCTTCTTACTTATCTTCAAGTGTGGGGAAAAATAGCAAAACTAATAAAGACCAATGAATCGATTAATGCTTCCTGAAGAAATCCTTCTGCCTTCACCTCTGTCACTGAGCCTCCAGCTCTTACCAGAGGAACAGTTACTTGCTGACACAACATCCCAAGAATTATCTCCACTGGGTTTATCACTTACCTGTTGATTATTTAGTAATCCTCAAATAACTGGCACCCTACTAAGTTTATGAGACACAGAATTAAACACTATAAATAAGGTATTTCTCCTCACACTTTACCAATATTCCACAGGGCACGTGCACCTGAGAATGCACCTCAAAACACTTTTAACGCAGGCAGAGCAGCTGGAGTCACTTTGCTTCTCATCAGTTTCAAAGGGTGAGGATAAATAAATAAATAAAAAGAAAACTGGGAAGAAAAAACTGCCTATGTTACATCAACAACAGGTATGAACTTGATTTCTGGAACAAGAGAATCTCTCCGCTTTTTAAAGGTTGTGCAACCAGTTCTTTTGGACGGGGTGTTTCTCACTTTCAGGGCGGCTTTACTATCCACAGTCACGAAAGACTAACTCAGTTGCTATAAGGCATGCACCAGCTCTTCTGAAAACTAATTCTCTTCTCCCGCTTTTTCTTTAAAAAGAATGAAAGGGAAAAAAAAAATCAAACCACCCAAATCTGCATTTTTTCCCCTGGCTGGCAGATTTCCAAGATAAAGAGGACTGCTCTCCGGCTGGAACAGCAGCCGGGGCCTGCTCTCCAAACTCACAAAAGAGAACACCACACACAGAGAAACACCGACGGGTCTGACCGGCCAGAAACGTTTTTTCACCCTCTAAAGCAGTTTCTCAAATGAAAAAGGAAAACCCGACCACCAGCCCCACGCCTCTAGCCCCAGAGCCAGCCCGCGCCGTGCTGTTCCCACGCACCGCCGGACTGGGGCTGGCAGCGCCGGCAGGGTCGGGACGGGACGGAACGGCGGCTCCTTCGCGCCGGGTCGGGCAGGGATAAATCACTCCTCTTTTGGGTAACTAGAGGAACCAGAACCCACATGAAGTTTCCCCTCTTTGCAGTCACCCCAGTCCCAGGTGTATGCTTTTTTTTCTATTATCAGTATTATCTTCTAACAGGACAAGCGGAGGAGTCCAGGTCAGAGTGACGGCGGGTTACCGGAGCGGCGCTTACTCGGGAACTACGCGGCTTTTCCCCGCCGTCACGGCGCGGGGGTGCCGGGAGCGGCGGTGCGGGGCTGAGTCGGGGAGCGCGCTCCGGGGAGCGATTGGGCAACGTGGGAAGGGGGGAGGAAGAAAAAAGAAACACCAAAAGGAAAGAAGCACAAACGATGAGATGTGCCAAGGCTTATTCCCATTTATTTCCTCCACCCCCACAAAAGAAAATAAGCCGAGAATCAGGAAGTCAGGGCTGCGTGATCGCTGTTACAGCTTTAGTTTTCTCCCCTTTTCTCCTTTTTCTGTGTTTTTGGATGGGTGGGGTTTTCGGTGTCTGGTTTTTTGGTTGGTTTTGGTTTGGTTTTTTTTAAGGAAAAAAAGTAGTTGGACTTTCCCCTCTCCGCTCCCCACGGCAGTCTCCCGGGGCGCAGCCGGCAAAGCGGCGGCAGGACCCCCGCGCCCCGGCCCCCCACGCCCTCCTACCTTTCTTTCCCTCCACGGCGAGACAGAGAGCGAGGCGCCCCAGCAGCAGCACCAGGACAGCGGCTCGGCGGGGCCCGGCAGCGGCTCGGGGGCTGCGGCCGCCCATACTGCGGGACCGCCGCTCCCTCGGCGAAGTGGGTGGGGGGTCGAACGGGACGGGCGCACGGAGGATTCCGCGGAGCCGCTCCTGCTCTGCTCCTCTCTTCTCCCGCGGCCGCGCTCAGCTCCTCTCGGGCGCTCTGCCCTGCGCGGCTCCGAGCAGCATGCTGGAGGGCGACCGTCGAGGTCTGCGCGCACACGTGCGTGCCCCGCTGCGGGCGGGCTGCTGCCTTTCTCCTCCTTCTCCTCCCCCCTCTGCTCCTCCTGCTGCAGGCGGCGGCGGGTGCGCAGGGGCTTGCGGAGCGGTTGGAGCCGGCTGTGGGACGGGGTGCGTCCGGCTGCGCTCTCTACTCACTCGCGGAGCACAGGGGCTCCCTCTGGGGACGCCAAGCAGGAGGAGGAGGAGGATGGGGAGGGAGCAAGGAGGAGGGGGGAGGAGGAACTGGCGGCGCCTTCCCCGCCCAGGTGGAGAAGGGGTGGACCCGCCACCTGTCCCGGAATATGGCATGAGGGGAGGTATGAGTGGGGTGGAGGTAGTTTAGTCGTTCGTCCTTGCTCGGAAGGGTGGGGGAGATTTTCTACTTCCCGGCAGCTTCTGTCCGGCAGCTGCCAAAGGCATGAACGTGCATTTGCGCCGCTGTTCGCAAAAAAGCGGCGTGGCCCTGGGCACAGCTTCTGTCTTTCCTCCCGGGAGTGTTGAGGGGGGGCAGAGGATTTGCGGGAGTGCGGGTGCCCCGGGGGGGTTTGCAGCAGAAACGCTGTCCTGCCCCGTTCTTTAGGGAGAACTGTCCCGTTGCAGCGCCAGGTAGAGGAGTGCGAGCGAGGAAGGACTGAGGCCTTTTACCGGGGAGCAGCAGCGGCGAAGCCGCTCCGGAGGTTGTCTGCTCCCTAGGGGAGCATCTCCGGAGCTCCGGCCTCGTTTCTTCTCTCCGAAATCAGCGGAGCCCGCTTGGCCTCTGCGAATAGTCCTGCTCTCGTTCTCGGCATTTTGCTGCCAATACTTGCAAGGCCAAGTGTGTGGGTGAAATAAAACCGCGCTGAATTTGTGCGTTTTTAGCACACGGATAACAGGGGCCGTATCTGCCCGTACCGTTTCTATTCCCCTGCCACCAGCAGTGAGAAAGTGCTCCTTGTTCCGCGTAGCAAGTTACTTAATGAACACACAATCATACAAGTTTTTTTGAGGTGCTCCAGGAACATCCACAGACATTAAACAAAAGAGGGCATGTACAGTGCTCATTCCCCCCAACGTGTTTTCCTCCAAGAGGCAAACCCAAGCTATTCAGTGTTCAATAAAACGTGCTTATGGTTAGAAGCTCTTTTTCTAACAGGCTGTTCCTCTGGAAAGTGGGAGGAAGCACTGTCTTGTCGCTCAGGTACACAAATAGGACATAAAAGTGCCACTTGTCTGGGCTGGGATTTCTTCGAGTAAATCATGATTCAACACTCAAACTTGTTAAATGATGGTGGGTAATTTCTTCGTAAAGTTCTTGAGAAGACCTGGGTTACACAGGCAATAGGATATGAAGTGTTAAAACTATAATGATTAGGTGGGAACTCCAGAACTGAAGTCAGTATAATGACATGAGGTTTGGGAAACTACGTGCTAAATGCCTGTGTCTATCACAGGGCACTGGAACACAATAGATTGCAAAATAGCCACTGAGTGTACCTTTACTTTCCTCTGTTATGCATATTCCTCCGAGAGATACCTTACTCTTCTTCTACCAGTCAACTTCCTCTGTAAAATCTTTTTTTTTTCTGATAGTTTAAGTAGTTACTGTCTTAACCAGGCAAAGAAAACTACCAACTCATTTACTTATCCTAGCACCTGACCAGCTTTAACTGCGTATCATCCCACCATGCCTGTGATCATTTATTAAGATGAATTGGGTTACAACTCAGCTTTTGAATGCTGTGGCTGACATTCTGGTTTGATTATATTTTGTAAATAATGTGAAAGATGTACTTCGAGGTAAACTCAGACATTAATAACATCCCAGGAACTCTACTCATGTGATTGGTTTCATGGTTGTAACTGAGGGCAGCACCTGAGCTTACAATACAATATTAATGCAATTTGCTTCCAAGATTCTCATACAGTGCAACTTTGTAAACACAGTGTGTGTATGGTTCATTTTGATTTATTTAGACAAATAGGAGGATCTTTAAAAGTGAGAGACCCAGGAAAAAGAGATCAGCTTCTAGGGAGGGAAGATTTGCAAAGCATCCTCAGCACACACTGACGATTACAGCTTGCATTATAAGAAAGGAAGTGCAATTAAGATAGCCAAGAAATGAACTTCAAATCAGTTCTGTACTAAATAAAAATATGCCCCTAGATGTGGACATTGAGCATCAAGCTCAATGTAGGAGGCAATAGAGTTTTTAAAATCTAGAAAAAGAAAGGATTCAAAGTGACAAATGAAAAACAAACTAAACATAGGAAAAAAAAGAAAACATCTTTTGCATGTGAACTCGGTGGAGAAACTTGTCCAAGTCCCGTCCTAACATGCTAAAGAACAAATACTTGCTTTGCAGACTTTTTTTTTGTGCAATTATGATTCTACCTGCTATACTGAGCAGGAACATTTCATGCTTGCTTCATCTCCCATCACGTACTGTCCTGACATAAATGCACATAAACTCAAGTATTTGATCCAAACTAAACTCCTCCTTCATTGCCAGCAGGGTGAGCAAGGAGTGCCTAGGCAATTTCCCCTTTAATTTTTTTTTCCCACACTGGAGATATCCACTACAGGATACTCTCATCTGCTGCTGGTAGTGCAGTACTGCTGAAGGGACTGCACAGCAAGCTGCCGTAGATTCCATCCTCCCACCTTTGTGAGCACAAATGTGTTATTTTTGTGGCATTGTGCTCTGCTTGCCAAGGTCATGAGATACATAAAGAGACTCTAAGACTGTGGTTTGAGAAGCTTATCACAGGCAGGAATTTCAGGCCTTGAACAGTTTCTGAAATGGTTTGAATTCAAACATGACATTTTCCCTAAACAGCTGGTCACATACCCGGTGACTGCCTTTGGTACAACTCCTTTAAATCCAAGGTAATTACATGAATTTTACCAAGGTCATACAATATTCATTTTGCAAAACTTTTATTACCAGCTGTATGTGTGCATGCATCAAAGGTCATGAGACAAAAGCCAGTCTTCTGACCACGAATTTTTAAATTGATAGTTCATCGTGAGAATACTAAACACGATATCTTTTTTCAGCTTTCTTCTTACTTGCTTGCTTCATGGTATGTATATATCTCCTGTCTTCTATATATTAAGCCTAAACATGCTGACCTCTGAAGTGAAGTCCATGTAAGCTGGTAGTTCTTTCATATGAAGATACTTCTGGATTGCAGAATTTGGCTGCAATTGCTCACGACCACTTGCCTGCACCACTGAGCTGATTACTTTGCCACATGTGGAGAGAAGCTGTTAAGAGGATGAATAACTGATTTTCCTATCAGTGGAAAAAGCAGGATTAATTCTCATATCTCTTCCACATTCCCTCAAAAAAGAATAGAGTCTCAAAATCCTCTCAAGAGTAAAGAAATCCCTGCTACTGGGTCCTTTCCTTAAATGAAACAGAAACGTGTTGTTTTTCATTATCCACTGAGAGCGGGTCAGCATTTGCCCTCCAAAAAAATTCATCAGCAACCATTCCTGGATGGCAATGCAGTTCTTCTCTTTGTGTTGCAAAAGTGATTCTAAAGGGCAGGCCTTTTACTGGAAGAGAAGAAATGAAGTAGAGCTGAATTAGCAGGGGTTTAGAATCAATTTGCTCAGATTTTGCATGTTTTTTGAGATAGTTGACATTGTATTTTGCATTGTAGTTTGTATTCTACTGAGGTTTTAAAGCAAGGGCTCAGGTAATAATTCATGGAGCTTTATGGCATTTTGCATGTTGAAAACATTGCACAAACATTAACTGATTTATCTTTGCAAATCTCTTGTAAAGCAGGTTAGTAGCTATCATTTCCATTTTATAGATGTAAAATAATTTGCCTTGGGCAGAGTGTTAGTGGCAGAGCTAGGGTTATCACTCCAGAGCTATTAATTCTAAACATTCTGCTTAAACCTTCTTTGGATCATGCTGCTTCTAGAGACTGTCCCTGATGAAAAGGGATGCATTTTTACTCACTCAGATTCTCTCTCTCTCTTAACGCTGTTTTTTGTTTGTATAGCATCATTTAGAAAGGACAACAACAACAAACACATGAGTATTGAAATCACACATGGGTATTGAAATCAAACCTTAGTTATAGTAAATTGCACAGTCAGTATTTCAACACAAGATCATAGTATTATCTCCAAAGGGTTCCTACATGTTCTTTATTGTTTTCATGTCCAGGTTTTATCTGTCATCTCAGTCATGAAGTTCAGAGTTGCATTTTTCAGGGAAAATTTACCTAAATCAGGAACAGACTTTTAATATTATTTAAACTCTGTCGGGGATTTGCAGCACCAGCTCATATGCTAATGAAAGTAGGCAACAAAACAGTAAGTATAAAAATGAAACCTGTGTGGCTGTTACATGGGAGAAAGTGTGAGCTATCTATTCTCTGAATTATGTCTTCTTGAAAAGACCCCCAAATTTTGTCCAGTAGAAAGCAGAAAAAAAAATTGTTTTGTGCATTTTGATTAACGTCTAAAGTAATTATAAGAGAAAAAAGGCTATAGCAAATTCTTTCAGTATTGGCGATAAACATTGCAATTGGTAACATAAACTGAAAAATGTTATCAGGGTTTCATAAGAATAACTATACCATATTGACAAAAATATGCAGATTTACTTGCCGTATAGTTAATCTTTCCCCTCTCACAAAATCTCAGTTGAACTCCTGGGTAATATGGCGTCTCCATTGCCATCTAGTAGATATTTTCAAAGGGTAGAATACATTCCCTGCTTAAAAGCATCCATCCCTTTGGTGTTTGTAACTTCATGTAGGGACTACTGTGTTTTTTCACAAACTTTAACAAGTCCCAAAACTAGACATTTCTTGCTGTGTTCTTACCTCACTAAATTTTATAGTTTGTATGGGTAAGGACATCAGGACTGATACTGTCATGGAATAAGGTATGTTATATACAAAATCTTTGTTACTAAACAGTACAACAACTTCCTACATAAAAACAAGATTCTGCCTTATTTCTGTATTTTGTTAAGGTGACTTACACTGATATTGCTATACTACATATAGTTCTTCGCTCAACCAGAAATCATACAACTCTATGATTGCAGCACAGTTGAACATGCTGTCAATAAATCGGATGTCAGTAGAAGCAGAGCTAACACAGAATCACAGAATGAGTAAGGTTGGAAGGGACCATAGTCATCTGGTCCAAACTCCCTGCTCAAGCAGGGTCAGTCTAGAGCACTTTACACAGGATTGCATTCAGACAGGTCAGTATCCCCAGTGAGGGAGACTCCACAACCTCTCTATGCAGTCTGTTCCAGTGCTTGGTCACCCGAACAGCAAAGAAGTTCTTTCTGACGTTCAGATGGAACTTCCTGTGCATCAGTTTCTGCCCTTTGCCTCTTGTGCTGTAGCTTGACACCACCAAGAGGAGCCTGACTCCATCCTCTTTATACCCTCCCTTCAGTTACATATATACATTCATATGGTCCCCTCATGGACATGGCTCATGGACAGTTGCTTTTCCACCAGGACTCCCAGGGCCTTCTCCACAGAGCTGCTTTCTAGCAGGTCAGCTCCCAGCCTGTACTGGTGCAGAGGAGGAACATTACCAGATCATACTGTATAGTTTTTCAAGATGGGTGACTAGTAACAGCAGGTGTTTGATTATGAACACTGATACTGCTAATTGCATTACTGTCACTGTCCGTTCTGCACAAGCAAAAAATGAGCCGTGCTCACCTATTTCCTGACCCACTGCATAGCCTGTCATAGCCCACGTATGTCCGCAGTGACAAAGAGATGGGGACAACAAAACATAAGCCCATGCCACAGACTTTGCCTTAGGAAGAGTAAAAGTGGCATGAAGCCAAGCTCAGGTGTGATGATTGGCTGGCCTTGGTTGTATTTATCCTGCCCCTTCCAAGTCCTTTGACTGACCCCTTCCCAGCTCCCACACAAAGTTCAATGCCATGTTCAATACCATTTGCTCAAAATATTGTCTCCTTGGGTGTTTGTAGAGCTGAGAAATCTACAGCAAACGGAGAGTGAGGAAAGCTGGTAGCCCTGAGTAAATGCACAAAGAATGTGAGTTGCATCAAAGGTGTGGCTAATGGGGGTTTCTTCAGTTTCAGCCATCTCTTGCTGTTTGCATCCAAAGCGGACGCAGATAAGAATGATAAGAGATTGCAACACTGTGATTCTGCTAAACAACTACAGCTACCAATCCTTATTTAGGCTAGCAAATATAAAGTAAATCAGCCTTCCCTTATATCCACTCCTTATTTTTCACTAAGGAGGTATCTCTACCTTGACTCATTTTCCCAGCGCTGTTAGACAGTAAGAACCCTAATGTTTACAGACACTTTCTTGCTTCTTGCTTCTCTGTGACTCCAGAGATATGCCACTGAAATCATTACCTTGCATTTTTCCACAGGAAAACTAAGCCCAATAGCAAAGCTGTCACTGAAGAGAATGGAAAAAGAACTTTTCTGTCATGTGCTTTGAGGTTTTGTCCCCAAAGTATTTTAACCACAGAGTAGATGGTAATTTTTATTTAAAGCAAAATAAGTCATTATGCTTTAGAAAAAATTCTATCACATTTTATTCAGCACTGCATAGCTAAGTAATAAAGACATATGTGGCAAAGGCCGGTCAATTCGATATGATTAACCCAACCAAAATCCTGGAGATATTACAGCTGCACTGAAAGAAATCCCATAGAACACGGCCAGGCAACCAGTTGCCTTTTTTCTTTTATCATACCTCTAACTTCCAAAATCTTTCTCAGGCAAATGTTTTCTGCAGCATGTTGGAGACCATCAGCAAGTGTGACTGAGCAGAAGAGCAGGTTCTGGAAATCAGAGAGGTCACAAAGTGCCTGACTTTCCAGCAATGGCATCTTTATTTTCAAATGAGGAGGATCCAATGTAAATGCCCCTGGGGAAGGCCTTAAGGCAGTTTGGCAAACATAGCAATGTACAATACTGAAAACTGAGATTTGGGTAACACGGTTTTGGAGGACTGGATTTGTAAAGCAAAACAACTGCAACACAGGCCCTGACATCCTCACTGCATGTGTTCCTGAGTGTTTTAGTTCGGACTACCTCTTGTGATCCTATGGACTGAATGTCCCTTACTTGTCATGGTATGTTATGTACACCTCCGGAGCACATCTTTCAGCTTAACTCCGTTTGGAAGAAACGCAGGTTACTCACCCCAAGGCCATGGCACAAAGAGGATCACACTCAGAAGCACACTCCCAATCCATATCAGAATGCTTTTACAAATTTTTTGTTTTACTCTCTTCCTTATTTTCTTTTCTCTTTGCCAATACCCTTGCCCACAATCTGCTGTTTCTAGAAAAAAAAGAAAACAACAATGAAATATTTGAGTTCCTACCAAAGTTTTAATCTATAGAAAGCAAGACAGGACCTGGATCCCAGCTTCAGTCTTTGAGGTTTCCAAACTGGGCTGACCCCAAACCCAGAACATAAACAAATGCAGTCTTTTACAGGTTACCTAGAAAACCGCTTGGTATGAAAATGCCAATGGGATGAGAATGCCAAGCACTACCCGTTACCCAATACTGCGAGATAAACTAGATGAAGTAAACCCATGGATAACACAAAACACGTATAAGACCTCTAATGAAAAGAGTAGGCTGAAAATAGCCAGGCAGCTGTTCGGGGAGCTATTCCAGTGGCACACACCAGTGAACAGGCAGGCTGGGAGCCAGGGCTGGCCACTGCATCCACAGGAATCAGGTGCTTCTACTGAATCAGGGCAAAGTTAGTTAGTCCACAAACCAGATAATCAAGAACTGACATCACATTTTAGATGCTGTCAAAATATAACTACAAAAAGGGGTTGAGAGGGGTCACCTGAATGCTCCTGAGCTTTTTCTTCCTTCCTATTTATAACATAGTCCCCAATACACCTCGGGATATGTGTTTGATCTCAACGCTCTGGTATTTACTTCTTGAGCTCTCGACAGCTTTTCTGTTCAGACAGATGAGCAATTCTCTGAGCATTTCAGTAAACTTTCCAGAGGTAATTAAGATACAGCTGTCTCTGCAGCTTCCTCTTCTCCAAACTCAGGTTCAGTCCTTAAAATCCTCACGTGACATGACAGCAAGAGGATGTGAACCTCTAATCCATTCCGTGTGCACACTCCCACCTCCATCAGACCCTCAGCTACTAGTGTGTGATATCCTGCACCACTGGTAAGAATGCAATATCCTGGTGTAATAGAAAGCATACCATGAAACAGCCCGGGGATATATGAAGATAAAGAAACCTGTCTCCTGCCAATTTTTTTTTTTTCTGAAATGGGTCAGATTGGATAGGTTACTTCACATTCTCCATCATCCCATCTTCATAAGCAGCTCCCCAAACTACAAGCTCCTCATCATTTGATTTCATGCATTACTTCCTTTCCCAACCACTTCTGCAGAACTAGAGACCCAATTAATTTAAAAAATGAAACCCAGCGCAAGAGCATTAACTTTTCCAGACTTGCTTCCTTCCTGACCTCACTGCTTATTTGACTGTAAAACAACCGATGCTGCAGTTTTCAAAGAGGCAAGTGAGGACCACAATTTCTATTCCCAGTCTGTGGGAGTGGGAAAGCGACTTTGGCATAAATACATGAAATTTGAGATGTTAAATATATTTTAAACCAGCTCCTTTTCCTTTAAACCTAATTTCCTCTGAAGACGGAAATTTATCACCAATGACTCAAGTTTCCTCAAGGTTTTATCAATTTAAACTTCAATAATGTTCTTTCTTTGTGAGTTCATGCTACATTGCCTAGCCCTTGCTTACCCAGCCAGTGCTTACTCATGCAAACCAATAATTTGGCTTTTCTGGTTTATTTGGGTGAGTGCTTTTTCATTATGTCCCTTGCCCAATCTATTAATTTGAGATGAGGGTCTTGTGGGAATTAATTATAAGTCTGGACATGGATGAGTGGTTTAAGATTTTGCCTGTTTTCTATAAGGTTGCAGCATATAGAAATGCTCGTTCTATATGGAGCAAGTAACAAATTCCTGGGCCTCTCAGCAGTGGAACTACTGGAGACTGGTTTTCTACAAATGATTTTGCTTTCTCCCCTTGTTGTCTGCCATCTACATTACCCTCCTGTGCCCTCCACACAGGATAAGAGACAGCCAGTATGGAGATGTATGCATGGTAATTGGACATGTGGGCTGAGAGTGACACAACAGATAGCTGCTGAGGCTGCAGTACCTCCTCTTTACATACCACCAGATTTCACAAGGCTCATGAGATCCTCACTCTTCCATGGGATTTGGTTAAAATTAGTTAACAGGGCTGGGGACCAACAGATGTAATGACTGCATGCATCTTGCTTCCAGACTAAAAAAATCAAAAGCTGGCAAGAAGCTGTGATTGTCTGACTTGAAACAGTTGAAATGTATCCTTGATGTCCTTTGTAGTGCCTCAGGAATAATGGCAGGTTTAGAGAGTGCAACTCTATGACCTTATTTGAATTGGAGCATACTGCAGTGTGTCTAAATGCTCTCTCCAGGCTTGTTTTTTAAGTTTAAAGAGACTATATCAGGACATCGGTGCAGTCCAAGGTTTCCAAAGTTGTTATAGCTAATGAGAGAGGCATATGTGCTCCATGATTCTGATGTTTGTCATTTACAGATCTGCTCCTGACCTTTGTTTTTATCTCTGCATCTCACCCCTGAAGCTAACATAAAGTGCAACAGAAGCCAGATATACTTGAACAAGCCCACACAGAAGTCAGAAGGCTTCCCTGCAGAGTTGACCACGGCTCACGCAGACTTCCCTCAGGAAAGGAAACCAAGGAGATCGCCTTTCATTTACAGTTTCTCAAGAACCAGAAGATTGACCGTAAATGAACACCAGGCTTATATGAGTACAAAGAAGGAGGCAAGAGAAAATAAGAATGACAATGAAAATGCCTCAAAGACACTAGTGGGAGCCCATCACTGCTTCTCTGGGAGACCTGCACAGCTTACTAGTGCAAAAAGGTAAAAAAGTCTGTCCCAAAGTTGGTAAATTGCTATGTGTGGCCTAAAAAAATTAGGTGCTGAAGTAGGAGCCAGAGCTTCAAAAGCTGGAAGTCTGTGTGAGCCTAACCCTCCCTATGTAAAATGGGATAACGAGTAGCACAAATACCTAAGCAATTTTTAAGAATAACAGCTTAATAACTACATGGTGCTTTACAGACAGGAAAGGCTTTAGGAATGCTAAGTATTCTTAAAATCTTGACCTTTTACCGTGATTTTGGTTTGGTATCTCTGAGATGGGGTTTTCTGTCTGAGGGAACACCTGCACTCTCACTTCTTAAGTGAAGCTTCTTCCCTGAAATAGAAAGAGGGCAAAGTCAATGAGATACAGCATTGGCATTGCTGCTCTGATCACTCTAATTACTGCCATGGTGACAAGAGCAGTATAAATCAAGCTAGTTCAGCCAAGAGTTTTTACCACAGGCTGGTTAACCACTACATTAGTATGAACATCTGACACTTAATTTTCTAGGAGGAATTAAAACAAGGGTAAAAGCTTGGAGGAGGCCATTCGTTTGTATTGCATGGGAAAGGATAGGGGGAACAGAGGCCATGAACAGCAATCTCCATGGTTTCAACTAGTATAGATGCTTCAACCCTCCCTTTTGCCCTTGATATGGAGCCCACTCAGACTTACTCAGAGCCTAATGTGAAAAGGGGCACTGAACTTAGGTGGGATTTGCTACATAGTGGTTGTGTATGTGCCTATAGGCCGGTCCAAAGCACACAAATAATTCACTGCCACTGGCAGAGTGGAATGATGTATTTGCTTTCTTTCCATTTTAAAACAAAAATCCAGCCTTAGCATTTTAAATAGCAGCATTTCTCTAGGAAAGGCATTTGTTTACTTTAGTGCCAGTAAAATTCCTCAGAAGGACAGTCTGAGAAGTAGAAAGCTTCGTCTTATTCACAGAACAAGTATAACAAGTCCTGCAAGCTCTCTTCCAATGTTTCACCAATATGCCTCTACTCAAGGCCGGAAGATTAGACTTCATATTCAAAACAGCGCAGAAGTTTTCTTTAAGAATTAAATACCACAGCGTCTTTGTTAATCTGGGTCTAACACAGAGAACTACCTCTAACACAGATAACTACCACACAAATAGCAATGGCATTGCTAATCAGCACCAGTTTTGCTGGGGACAAAGTCAGGACATTGGGAAACTTGTGCTGCTGACACCTGCCCAAGAAGAGCAGAGCTCAGTGGCCATCTTCTGCAGGCCCCATACCCCACACTCCACAAGAACCTTATTTTACCAAAGGCTTCTCCCTTTGGTGCCCAATTGTGCTGTGAAGCTCATTGCCATAGATGTTGTGATACATATGAGCAATGCATAAAAGAATTCAAGTTCCTTGAGGGCTGGTAAATACAGGGACAGAAGCACAATTGTTGTCTCAGGAATGGTATAACACCACAGCAGCCACTGGGATTGTTTGGGATGGGGAAGGAGAGGTGTCATAGAAACACCAATTTCAATTTGACACAGTACAGCTGCTCTCCTCTTGCACCGAATTAATACTGGCAAGCAAAAGTGGAAGTCCTTAGGCACTGTTCTCCAGCTTTTAAGGCATTTACATACACAGAACACCTCTTCTTCTTCTTCTGGGGAGTGAATGGTCTTCATCCACCACCACTGGAGCTAGTTTTAAACAGCAGAGAAGGCTTGTCCCTTGTATCAACTCACGAGCTGCTCTCTCCCAGAACTCATAGAGTGGGGCACACGTTCTGTCCAGCTACAGAAAATACTTATGGAGTGTTGGGTGTATAAGGACTGCCAGATCCTTGAGATATCCATAGAGGTGGGAGATAATTTGGGTTGAGTTCCCCTGATTTGTCTCCGATACCAGGCTGCCACACACATGTTTCTGCTGTTGGCTTCATTCCCACATGACACTAACCTACCTAGGATCTGTATGTGTGGGATCAGATCAACCTAGAAGTACGGGAGGGGAAGAGATGATATTTGCCCCTGATTTTACAGGGAAAGGCTCTAAAGCTTACCATGTGTTAAGTAACACTTCATTTCACCAGGAGCTTCCCTCATCTCGAAGGCATTACTCATGGAGGAGGGACCTACTCACCATGAGTAAAGGCTTTGGAATCTGGCCTTTAGTGTGGAGCTTTATGATAGCAATACTGAATATGTAAATCTCTGCTTTGTACAATAAGTGTATGACATTAGGAAAACACTGCATAACAAAGAGCGAAATAAGGAAAGCATGTCCAGCACCTCCGTCTACATTCAAGCTTGCCCAGGTTAACACAGCCCTGCTGATTTACAGGGCCATGGGGCAAGCTCTTGATCTTATGTTCCAAAAAATTGCAGGAACAAGATGCTGACAAGTTATTTAAGGAATGTGGTCCTCTAAGAACTTATCAAATCTGTCCATAAGTCCATTCACGTGCAGGTACATTGCAATTTTGAACAGCACTGAGAAAAGAGACCAGCCTCTATAGGCACACATATGGCTTCCACAGATCCTAGCAGAGCCTCACAAAAGATGAGGATACTCAGGACCATGAACACCTGTGGCTTGACCTTCCTTTATCTCAAGCATCAGATTCCTCAGAATACCTTACAATGACAGAGAAAGAAAGGCAACAGAATTTGATCTTTGAAGACTTCTGGACGCATATTGCTTTGCTGTGGAAAAGCAGCATATACGAAACAGAAAGCATCTTTTCTGCTCTGCCTGTTGGGTATGCCCAGTGATTTAACCTGTCTGCTAGTACCACTATAAAAGAAGAGATCAAATTCATCAAATTATAGCCTCAGGATTTATGTTTTTAACTGATTTTGCAGGGGAGGCAGAAAGGGAAGGAAAAGGAATGGAGTTTGTTTCAAGCTTGTCTGTCTTCTTCATATAAAAAAATAAAAAGTAGGAAAAAGATTTTTTTAATTATTTTTCCTGTAAGAGAATGGGGTTCAATGGATACACAGCCAGTACATGGGTAAGTGTTGAAATTATGTTGTATATCACAAAAATACACATAGGTTCCTTGACTCCTTTAGTTTCATATGTGGCTTGTAGTTCACAATCTACAATGAGATGTGAGAATGTGGTTAAGAGCTGAGAAATGAATAAATAAACCCCAACATGTTATTCTAATGGGCAAATTCTTCACTCTACACCATATTATCTCACTAACTCTCCTTGAAATTAAACAACATCCAGTTTGAATATCTGCTCAGTTCCTGCCCTACACAGAGGTGTCAACAAGAGGGCACAAGCTGATTTTTATGATGTGAATCAAGTCTGGTGGAAACTATTACTTCTTAAGTTTCAGCAGCGGGTTGTTCCAATAGATGGTATAAAATAAAGACTATCCCTATCCTAGGAGGTTACAGTCTAAAAAAAGACCAGAGGAAAGTATTTGCCTCTTGCAAAGTGATTTATTCAGTTGGTTCTCTGAGTTTATAGTCTACTTTGAAAGTGGGCACATTTGTCATGTAAATTTTCGTTTCTGTGAGAAGCACAGAATAGGCCATACTGATAATGTATGCTGTTTCCAGAAATTGTGTTTGGTAAAAAAAAAATTCAAAAGATTGTTTCCTGTCTGTTCAGACATTTTGAAGTTGAAATTATTTAATTTATTGGTTAAGAATGAATTTTATCTAGACTTCTTTGAATAATGTTGCTAAAGAAAACATCTTATGAACAAAATATGTCACACCCAGAAGTGATTCCTTCTACATTTTTGTTTTACTGAAAAATTCTGGGGAAAAAACTATTCTTAAAAAAATTCCAAACTGAAAGCTGCCAAACAGCCTGCTGTTCAGTGAATTCTGCCATAATAACCCAAACTAATAATTTCAAAAAAGACTGATCATTATAAACAAACCTGCAGCAAAGCAGAGGGCTGGACTAATTGTTGGATTGGGTAATCTGCAGGACTCTGATTTAGCGTTCGAAGTCATAATTGGGTCCATGACCACCTGCTTTGGTCACTGGAAATGAATGCAGCTGGACTTGGCTGGTCACTGTATCAAACATTTGCTGAAGGATGCACATGAGCTTGTTAGCAGTTAGTTGTTGTTCAGGCTTTAGTCGAGTAAATTGTTCCTGAGCTTAAGTCTTGCTGTCAGTAACAGCAGAAGTGGTAAAGGAAAGAAATAGCATTTCCTCTCTCCATTGCCACAGGGCTTTCTGAAGCACAACGGCATAAATGCCTGATAGATAATCTACAATTCAGAATGCTTCCTACACAGAAGAGGCAAAAAAAGTAACATGGCTTAGTGGAGACTGCAGGCTTTGTGTCAGAAACCTGGTGTACCAGTGCACGTCTCTGCCAATTACTTGCTCTGTATCCTTCAGCAAAGGGCATAGCCTCTGACCCTGCACTTCTCTTTCCCTTAGATAATGATATCTACCCTCTTTTTAAAAAATATTTTAAAATATACATGTAAGATAGGTTGGATCATTACAGAGCAAGCACACAAGCCGTAGTGATACACCCAGACAAGCCATAGTGATACATAAAATGCAGACACTCCCATGCACAGAAATGTACCGATGACCTTAGGCTAATGACTGAAGTCTGGGTGGTACTGCTGGTATTCGCAGAGCACACACTCACATAGCTGTGCAGGTCTGCACAGGCAGCCAACCAGCCCTTTTGCATGACGTTGGCCAGCGCTGATGTTCCCGGGCACGCTGAGCCATTTGGGGTAGCTGGCAGCTGCTGGGATGCTACTGGGCAGGCAGCTCTGCTAGCTCTTCTCTAGCCTCACAGGGGAGAGCTTCTAGTCATAATGAAGGAAGAGGGAAAACAGTTCCCACTTTCCAGAGAGCTGGGATTTTTATTTACTTATTTATCATAGCTGCTATTTAATTTAAAGACCTTATGTATGTAGCAGGAGCCTCACCAAAGTAAATGTGGCACAGCTGGTGGCCAGGTTCCAGAAGTGTGTCTTGTTCAACACTTTCCACAGTAGCGAATGGCCTGGCCTTTTCTATGTGGTTTAAAACTGATGTATTTGGAAATGTGGAAATGAAAAGCCTTGGGAGAAGAAAGGATAGAAAGGGAAAATTGGTTGTGGAGAATACCTATTTCCCTAATTTTAAGTGCAATTTTAGAAGCAATCTAAAACAGTTCATTCCAGGTGGGCCCACGCTTTGTAATTTTTGCACTTCCAGAGTCCTTCCACAGGATATCAGGTTATTAATATTATTTTATCAGAAACAAATCTCACAAGTATATCCTATTCTCGGTACGCAGCACTGCAGCTCACTCCGCTGAGAGAGGTTTAGCCGAGCAATAGCCCCTTTGCTGTCTGACAGCCTCAAGTCTTACAGCAGCTCATGTGTAGTTCACAACTTAGTCTTCTTTCATGTATTTTTTGCTAGATCACCTGCAAACTTGTGAAGTGAAACTGTTGTTCTTTAAAAGAAAAAGCTGTGGTGATGCTCCTGCTCTCTACGAATGGAGCCCTTCCTCCAAGCTTCGTGCAGGGTTCCTGTCCAATCTGATGCAAGGTGCTTCAAACTGTCATTAGCACAGACTGAACAGCACAGGTCAAATTACTGCATCCACAGTGTTCTGGTTAGAATCATAAGCTGAAAGTTACTCCATCCCGAAAGAAAAAGGCTTACCATACGTTGCCCCCCTTAGTCTGCCTAAGATTTTGCCCAGATACAAGTTCAGTCACATGTGAACAGCACTGTTTGTGAATTGAAATAGTATGTGAAACTTTGGACCTGTCCTGCCTCATAAATAGGGCTCAAGTTCAGAAGTTGTTCAGAAACTGTTTATAGCAGTTCTGTATAATCAAATCAAAACTGAAAGCACCTGAACAGTGATCAATGCCTGAACTCAAACACCTCAGCATGCTTTTGGCTATGCCATAACCATGCAAATCAGTCTAATTTCTCATTGTGTATATTCAAACTGGAAAATACTCTGCAAGCATTTGGCCCTGATTAAAACTACTGCTTTATTGGGCAATGCAATCCTAGGTGTACTTATAGGAGACTTAAAGTTTATTTCATATGCAGGCAAATAACTTTATCACCATTTGACTTGCTTTATTGCTTTGTCTTTCAACACCTTAGATATTATGGGATCTTCCTAAGTTTCTCCTCCAGCAGCACCTCCCTGCTTGCTAATACTAACCCTTCAGGCACTGCATCTAGTTTGGTAACTCCTAATTACCAAAAATAAAAGATCCTTTAAACCTGCTTTCTGAGATGAAACGGTCTTGTTAGATATGAGAAAGTCCCCTCAGAGAGAGATAAACGTTCTGTAATGAAAGAGATTTCCACTGAACTTCTCATCCTTTTCAAACCAAAGATAAAAATAATAAATAGATTTAAGAAAAATAAATAGATTTAAATAATTTAATAGATTAATAAAGGATTTCTACATATTTTCTTAATGAAATAGATTTATAGGAAATTAGGTTTATTTAGTTCTTCTGTTCCTGGAACTACTCCTTTCACTAATCTCAAGACAGTAATGATTTTTATATATTTGTCAGAATTGCTCAACAAATGTTTGTAATAGTTAAGACACATTTCATTTCCATTTGCCTCTTTGAGGCCAAGTATCTTCTCAGTTTTTTGATGCTTGACACTGTATCTGGCCAGCATGACTCAGCACGGGAATATGATTTCTATGCCCTGAATGGATGACTCATTATGTGCATACGAGAACAGTGCCTGAAGAGCATGTAGAAAAAGATAAGGAAAAGAGAATCCTTTAAGAATCTGCTTCAGGAATGTTAAACATGCTCTGTAAATATTATTGGCTTTTTCTGTATAGGAATATAAATAGTCTGTGATTTGAAGATGAAAAAAAGTAATCAAATTTACCAACAGTTCCTATATTCACACTTTCTTGGCACAAAATAATTTCCTGTAGGTTTTGGCAGGTTTTTTTGGTAAATGCATTTAATGAATGGATTAGCATTTGTGTCTGGAGAAATAAAATGCCTCTCAAATATTCCTATGCACAAATTTGATAACTAGTTGAGTTGCTTAATGCACTATTTAAAAGAAATCAGATGGTGAACATAGTACAAAGACCATAAGGAGACAATCCACATGCACTGACTTACAAGAAGTCAAGTGAAATGGACTTAGTAAACATGCTTGCCAAAACCAAAACAAATGTTCCCAAATAACATCACATCCAATACTAAGATCACAGACACCAAGAGATGGGATGACTACAGCGACCCTCTATGTGCAGAGGCTTTCC